AAAAAAAAAAAAAAAAAAAAAAATTCAAAAAAAAGGGCTCCTTTAAAAAACGGGGGATGTATAAAAAAATGGGTTTTTTTTAAAGGGGAAAAAAAAAAAAAAAAAAAAAAAAAAAAAAAAAAAAAAAAAAAAAAAAAAAACGGGCATCACCTAATATCACCTTGAATAACTTTTATTTTTCAGATTTATCAAGAAAAATTAATGTTCTAAGAGTCTACCGAATTCGACCTTCGAGATGAATCTGAAAAATAAAAGGAATTGATCATTCTTTTCAAAAGTTATTCTAGTTTAGGTGATGACCGTAGTACCTAAGAAATAAAAAGATTAAAAAACTCGAAAACACTGTGTGAGACCGTGGATTGTAAGACACCCCTTGTAAGGCGATTACAAATATTTGATGAAAGAACTTGGACTTGAAAATCAGGAAGTTTTCATTTCCTTCCTAAAAATAGAAACCAGCAATATTTTGTGACTTTTGAAACCAGTGCTGTAATAAAGACATAAATTTGCATACGTTTTAATCCTTATTAACCTTATAATACTCTTTAATATTTTCTTGTTCAAATACTTGGCCTCTTTGGGGTCGCAAGGCCTGTGCGGTTACGGTCACACTGAACAAAAAAACTATTTGCGACTTGCAACTGTTACCGTTTGCAAAAAAGGTCGGCGACCGGTAGCAACAACTCGCAAAGTGGTTTCCAAATGAACGCTGGATTGATATCCGGTTGCGCCGGTTTTCGGTGCAGCTCCGAAAACCTCGTGGCGACCGAAAAAAACTTCTTGTGGTATCCAACCGGTTGCTAACAGGTCGCCGACTGCTTTGCAACTGATTTGCAACCGAATGTGTGGTTTTAATTACGGTATCCCTGTACGCTACGGGTTTGCTGCCAGAAGAACCAATATTCACTGAAATCAGTGGGGGAAAAAGCAACCAAAACACGAACAGGACCCCCTTAGGTGGTCTCAATTTCTTGTAGGGCCTATATATTTTTTTCTTGTAAAACCTCTTCTCCAGTATATTAATAAGACGACGCACTCGCAGACGGCCATCACATGGTTCGATTAGGAATCTGGATTCATCTGCCACACCACATGGTTTCTATACGCCTGTTAGGTTTCGGTAAGAGCGCACTTTGTTTACGCGACGGTTACGCGTTAACTTAGGCTTCCAATATATATTATTATTTTACGAACTTTTGCACATGGGTTTTATCTGCGTGGTGTAATGATACTAATAATTTATATTTAATAAAATGTTGTCGTCTGCGTTTGATTTTAGTTACTAGTACTTAAGTGAAATTAATATTTATCTTCTTTTTCTTAAACATTCAAACCATCACTGATAACATCCCAATAGTTATAAATATATATTTTGAAACATCCCTCTTGAACGTAATTATTGAAAAATATCTCCCAATTACCCAGTGAATGTTGGCGGAGAAGTCTGCAATAACGAAATCCACAGCTTAGTGTAATTGTCATATATTTATATGATAATTTTCATGATTTCTGTATCATTTGAAGCAAATACATTTCTCTTCAAACAAATATATGAACATTATTGTTCATGACTTACAGGTATTTTAACATTTCAATATGTAAAAACGGCAACAGCACGTGAATTCATAGGTCTGAAATTTCTCTCTTGAGAAACTTATAAGACATTGATGTTCTTATAAAACGGGGGGAAATTATAATACAGAGAAATTTTACTAGACCTGTAACAGAAATCAATATATCATGAAAATTCCAAGGGTGTTTCAACTGAAACACTTTCAGCTCAGCTTCAAACAGTAGGAGTTTGATTTTTACCTTTGATGCTTCAAAAATACTTTTGCTTTTATTACTTTATACTGAATACTGTAGGTATTATCTCCTTGGCGTGAGAAACAATATAGAAAAAGCATGCAAACTTTGTTAGGATATACAGCCTCATTTCTTTGTTATATTGATTATAGTACTATTTCTACAATTAAAATGATTCTTGGTCAGATAATTACCATGCGAGATTCTTCAGTGATCATTCTTAAAAATAAAAAAAAAATCAGTGTTGAACCTGCCATTTCAAATAATTATCTGATATCCATAATATTGTTAAAACAGCTTTCCATGGCACTTTAATTCAACAGTCATAAAGTGCCACATTCTTGGCAGCCTTTGACTGAAAACGATCTATTCATGTTGTCATGGAAACAAAAAAATACTTCCTAACTAGAAGCATTAGTATTAATTTCGTAGTCTATGCTACAATTGGATTTCATCTGACTTATTATGCTTTCAAAAATATGCCATGCTGAAACTGATTGAATTCACATAAGTCACCCCGAGTGTCAGTATAAATGGGATACCTTCCTCTGTATAGGCTGGAATGCTTAAACTGCCCACTCCCTCCTAGGGTGCAGGATCTCCTTATGTCACAGCAATATCAAATTTGCAAAGGACTATTTCACGACAGTTTGTTTTCTCCCTCTGAAGTGTCTTTATCCTCCATATTAAATCTATTTGGCACTTTCATTTTTGCCAATTTTGTAATAGAAATTTCAATTACCTAATATATATATGTCAAAGGCCCAGATCAAATCTAGTCCTATGCATAAAAGGCCAAGGCTCCATGTTTATTACACCCTGGCTGGGCCCATTCTTTATGGTGTCTTTGCATTGTTATAACAGCATAATGGGCAAGTTAAATGACCAAGTTAATTGGCCAAGCTGCCGGTTTGTTTGTGTGGCATGTGCAGGGGATGACTTAGATCAAGGCACATATTATGATACTTACAGGTGTGGCAAATGAGATATACTTGTATTTCATTACCTGTGATTTGTAAAATACATCAGAGGATGATACTTTTAAAGATGTTTAATGTTTAAAGAAAAGACATGTGGATTGATTTAGTAACATTTACTAAAGAAATGTTAAATTAAAGGTGGGCTTCATTTGTGCCTAGATCTAAGACATCTCCTGCAATGCCATACAAACAAACTGGCAGCTTGGCCAATTAACTTGGTCAATTAACTTGGTCATTTTACTTGCCCATTATGCTGTTAACAATGCAAGGACACCATAAAGAATGGGCCCAGCCAGGGCGTAATAAACATGGGGTCTGGGCCTTTTATGCACGGGACTAGATTTGGTCCGGGCCTTTGACATATATATATATATTGTTGGAATCAAAAAGACAAAAAACAAATTTCTGAGGACAGAAAATGTATAACAGAGGGGACAAATACAGCAGAACGACCAAAAGTGGGCATATGCTCCAGAACAAAAAAATAAATAAATAAATGAAAATAAAAAATAATAATAATAATTGAGCTGCATGCCAGTACACAGTATAATAACACCAAGTACATCACAATCACTAAATCACATTTTGGCAACTTTTGCTTGCTCCTCAAGGAAAAGCAACTGGTCTACCAGGAAGCAATCACTTGGGTTTTTCACATATTGTCTCAGTCCAGCGATAATTTCGTTTTCGTCCACAGTCCCTGCCATATCTCCAAACCTGGCAGACTTCAGGTAGTTGTAGGCTTTCTGGAAGGCATTCTTTCCTAATTTCTTTTCACAATCCCTGTTGTTAAGTTAAGGATAACATAAAATTCAATCAAATTTAATTTATAAAATCATTAATAGAAAAACTTTTACAGTAGTCATTATTATATAAATAATACATGGAAGTGTATTTCAAATTTACAAAATGTTTATTACTGCATGAAGGAGAGGGAAAAGCTGACAAACATCTAAATTTTACAAAGATGTGATGTTTAAAAGGATTCATATATAAATGGGTTATTCATATACATATAAATCTTTTCATAAAAAGGATACATTCTTAAATTTTTTATCTTAACATCTCTCACAACTGGACCAAAAGCTCCAGCAACAGAATCATCAGCAAATGTCACACTCTTCTCTGAAAGTTAAAATTAAAATATTAGTCTTTGTTTACAGGTGATGTCACATTTTCCACAAACTTTTAGTTTTTTTAGTTTTTGCATTACCGATGTAAAAGAAAAAAAAAAACAAAAAATAAGCGAACAAACAAACAAAAAAAGAAAAAAACAAATAGTGAAAAAAAAACAAAAAGTGTGCAGATAAAGGTAATTTATAGTTTAAAGTATTCTCACAAATGTAATACACAATGAAAAGAAAAACTCTAAAGGAAAAATATATATTACTAAAAAGTGTCCATTAATTTGTTTAAATGAAACAAAGTGCAACAATGAAGTATATGGAGGTTATTACCTGCAGTAGTATCTAAGGCATTCTCCATATATCCTATCAAATGCTCCACATCCTCTGCCGTCTGCCCTAGCTCATCTTCATCTTCTGCCTCTCCCTCAATTTCTTCGTCCACCTCCTCCAGGTCCTCGAAGTCTTCGTACTGAGAATAAAACGTATCTGCTGCTGCAGGTTGATCTGGAATTCCTGGGGGAGAGGAAGCTGAGTAATTGGTGATGGAAAACCTATTTTCTATTTTAAAAGTAAAGCTACATTGTGTGTTGATATTATTATGTTATATACATAACACCACGTTTGCTTGACAAGATTTATTCTTGTGGACATGTCACAACTGGTCTAGAAAGTTAACACGGAAATTATTATATCCCATGTTGAGATATCATGTATACGAGTTTTCTGATGTATTTCTGGAGTTAAAATGCCTATCAAGAGATAATTATGAAAGCACTGTATTCTCCTTATGAGGTCTTCATCTGAATCATCAGGTGAATTATCAGTCCACAGTTGTCAACTCCACACATCTTAGCCTAATCTACATATAATACAGGACAGACTCCCATTGTTTACAGGTGTTATAATTGTAAATTTGATAAAATGTTAGACAATAAAACTATGTTTTTTTAGTGCTGTGATTGTCATGTTGCTAATCCTGTCAGTTAAGAGCTGAAGTCACAGTAGGTTTAGAAAAAGATTAAAAACAGCAACAACTACACTTATTTTAATACTGACATACTAGTACTGCCCTACCATCTTTCCAGTCCAGAGAGGAATTCTTTATGTCATAGACCAGCTTATCCTTCATTGGAGTAATGGGACGTTCATCCTCCACTATGACATGTAGCTGCTTAGGGACCATGGTTTGGGCGCCCGGATTCAACATGGCTTCTGCTACGTCGAATTCTTCCTCTTTTTCTTCTCTTTGTGTCTCTAAAATCACAAAAACACAAAGGTGTTTAATCTGACTGATTGTTAAAATCTGCATATGACGATGACATATCAAATTCCTTTATTGCTCATTGTATCAATAATATAAATACTTTCTGGGACTGTGAAAACTTAAATGAGCGATAAAGTGTTACAACTTTACAAAAAAATCTAAAAGAGCTTTAGTCCAAAATTTAGTGAATGCATGCGTGTAAATGAGTGTGTTCGCAAAAAATGTGGCTGTGAGTGAGTGTAGTGTGCATGTGTACACAGCATGTTGATCAGCGAGTGCACAAAGATGTGTGCATGCTTGCCCGTGTGTTCTACCTCACCTGGCGCAGTCTGGGGTCTACTGTTATAGGCAATGTCTGCTGATCGCAGCTGATGTACCTGGACATTGTTGGGTCTGGTAGCTCTCCCTCCTAGCAAGGCTCCCGCCTGAAATGCCAGCATATCTTATTAACTAGTCATAATCCAGATAACAACAATTACATTTTTTCCTTAAAAGCATGAATTCACAAAAAGACAGTAAGCTAGGCATAATGCTGTATAGAAGGGACTAAAATGTGCAGATAAATATTGAGATCAGTATTTGGTGCACATCAAGCTTCAAAGTTTGAAATTTTTATGTCATTTTTTTTTGTTTTTGTCAAAGTTGAAAGACAATTATAAATTTACTAAAAAGCTTGCTTCAATATGAAAAAAAAGATCAATTTCTCAATATTAGTATAACTGTAGGTGTGCTAGTGCATACTCACATTTGATGTTAGAAAACTAGATTTAATTTGGTCTTTCTTTAGTTGAGTTTCTTCGTAGCTCTGCCGAACAGCCTCTCTATAAAGGTAATGATGCTCTTAACTTACATATAAGATTCTTTAATGTATACATTCATTATTCACATATTTTCTAGTACATCATTCACGTACAATTCATTAATAATATGTACAGCTGGGAAGGTCTGATAATAATCAAGAATGATTTTTATTTCAAATAATTTTGTGAATTAGCATAATTGTAAGACTTTCAAAGCAACACAACAAACAAAACCTACTCTAATTTTTTCTTTTCCTCGTCTGCCTTCTGCTGTTTTCTTATCCTCATTCTTTCTCTTGGTGATAGATTTTTCCACTTTACATCCTCTTCCGAGTCCCGGAGTGTTTGCAAATGTGTCTTTTTTCTCCTAAAATAAATGATTTTTGATTATGCACGTGCCTGCTGATATGTAATAAATTACTCTACTTATCGTAATGATTTCAGATGGCAACACTAAATGCTACTAGGGATGAAAATCCTACCCTGCCTAGAATATAGCAGCATTTCCCCTCCCCAGATTATTGCTTGTAAAATTCAGTAACTTTCTAAAATCTTTATACAAATCATAAAAAGAAAATTTGTTAAATATAGAAGCTCTATTCTTGAAAGTTTCCAATTGTGTCACTTGGGTTCTTAAAATACATTGCCATGGTATTTTTATTTATAACTCGTTAACTTTCCAGATATAATCTTTATCAATTTCACAATCAGCACAATGTTTAGATTGGCAGGCAAATAAATGCAGATAGGGAGATTTCTCTCTCATTCCTTGTATTGTAAACAAATCATTCTCAAAAACTTTATACTCACAACAAATTGTCTATTTCTTCAGCTTCCTTCCTGTGACCCTCCTTCTCTTGCATGTCTTTCTTGTGCTTAACCTGTATAGTGTTTTTTAATTTCTGAAATAAAGGAAATTACAATATATTTTTTAAATCTTGACACTGGTGAAATAATAGAGTAAACAGAAATGAATACATATTTCCAAATAAATTATCAATTTCAAAGTACGGAAAAAAGAATTACGTACTAAAAGTGGAGATTGGTTAATTAAAGTAACTGTAAAGAAAACTGTCAAGTTGTTCCTTAAGTGTGTTTTAATATCAATAAAAATAAAATTTTGGAACAAGCTTCCATACCTCTATGTGCCTGTGTACAAATGGGACCTTGGTGAGCTCTGTTGCAGAGGGTCTCTTTTCTGGTTCCTTAACAAGCATTCTGAAAGACAATTAAAACATTAAGGTGAAACGAGACAAACTTAACATGAAAAAATTTACTGCATAACTCTTAAAACTTGAAACAATTTGCTACTACTGGTACAACACTGTTTTTTATTAGAGAGATAACACAGCAAGAAAAATAGCATACATACTGCATTTCTGTTATAGATAATATAATATAATATAATATAATATAATATAATATAATATAATATAATATAATATAATATAATATAATATAATATAATATAATATAATGATGATACCAACTTACAGTTTAAGAACCCCCTGTAGCTCCTTGCAGTATTTGTCTGGTAGCTGGGGCGAAGTGCCCTCTACTATCTTATACATGACCCCCATCAAACTTTGCCCTTCAAAGGCATGTTGTAAGGCACATAATTCATACAGGATACAGCCAATAGACCTGAAAAAGTGTTTTCAAGACCATGAATTTAGAGCAATACCTTTTTTTGTTTCATATAGGATACAGCCAATTAACCTGACAACTAAATGAGAACACTATACGGCCTTCAGATACAGATGACCAAAAACTGAAATTAAAATGATGGTATAACATTCAATAGTACTGGATTCAGTTAAAATTATTTCTATATGCGGCATTTCATTATTAAGCAAGTGTTGCTTATAATTCTGTCATTCTTGCCATACAACTTAACTATAGTTGCTACTTGATGCAGCTCTAGTTGAGTTATTAGATAATTTATATTTTCATTTTATTGATATTAATACTATTGACATATTGTTTTGTTTTATTGTAACAGAAGTGCATTTTTAGTTTAAGGGGGCGTACAGTTGGGCTTAGAAATATCCTTCATGCTCAAGACCTGAAACAAATTAGCTTTCATTTTATGTGGTTTACCATACATCCGACTTTGAGTTGTAGCCTTCATGTTTCAGCACCTCGGGGCTCATGTAGTACGGAGTTCCTGTGAATGTAGACGCCATGTCAGATGTACCCATGAGAATCCGCGATATACCAAAGTCGCCAATCTTTACCATGTTGTTTCTCAAAAATATATTTCTGAAGAAGATAATATTATGGACAAATGCATATGTAAATCTTGGAACTGTAACTAATTCTTACTGTTACAGGCTAAATGAATTTTATAGTTTATATGCTCACTGCATAATTATGGATGAATACATGGAGCCATATTCCTCAGCATATCAAAGGATAATAGGAAAATTATAAACAAATAATTAATGCTTTTTTTTTTACAAAAATAAAGGAACATTTTAAATCTTCAGAATTTTGTGAAAAATTTAGGTCTCAGTCTATATAAGTTTGATATTGCAAAGTTTTGTTTTCTTTCTTACTAGTAAGTCAAAAGAAGAAGAGCACAACAGGTACTTCCACCTGGTGGAATATAACCGATAATTATCTTTACTTATTCATGCAAAAGCTATGTTCTCTTTTCTACAACTGTTTCAATAATTTACTTCCAATCAGTACTTATGTATACCATCATATATTCATAACTTCAAAACAAAAACTTTTCTATGTACTTTTACAGACTCACCTTGTTTTTAAATCTCTGTGCAGTACCCGTCTAACAAAAAAAGAATAACAACAAACAAGTATGGGAACAATATTGTAACAGTCTGTTTTAGTGTTTCATTCTGAAAGACAGTATTTCAAGTATTACTAATGGTTTGAGTGTTTCCTTAACATAAGTCTTAACTAGGCAGAAAAAAATTAACTATCCTTCCATTAGAAATAAAAACAGCATTTGTGAAAACCAGGACGTGATACACATACCAAAGAAAACCATTAATTTACATAACTTTTCACAAGCTCTGAATCAAGGGTAAACTATCACTTTGTTTTCAAGAAAGAGTACAGAATTATTTCTTTTAGGAAAAATAAAATTACCTTGAGTGCATATATTGCACTGCCAATAAAAGCTGAACAAACCAATCCATTACTAGAATCTCATCCAAAGCTTTACCCTCTTTGCGATATTTTATGATTTGATCTTCTAAGTCGCCACCCTGCAAAGCAATCATATGCATTACAACCAATAACATGCAACATTTTCCTCAACTGAGAAAATGGCTGCAGTACAAGTCCATCGTTTAATTACTATGCAACTGATAAATCCAGTGTTTGAATCTAGGAAAATCAGTAGTAGAAAAAAATTTCATAAAGTACGCCTTAAATCAGCCATGCACTATGCCAATGTCGGACAGTCCTCATGTCAGTATGTTGAAGGAACCTATCAATATATCTAACAAATGCTTCATATTCAATCAATTCCATCAATATATAACAGATACAAGTGCTTTCTTACATCACAGTACTCGGTGACAATACAGAAGAATTCTCCGTCCAGAAAGCTGTCATAAAACTTGACAATACTGGGGTGATCAAGCTTGGACAGCAGGTTGGCCTCGTGCATGGCGTCCACTGTCTCGTCAGGCTGTAGGTCTCCCACAGGGATTTCCTTCATTACTTTCCTGGAATATATGGAAAAAAATCTACATGAGCACGTTTGTTAGCTTTAAATTAGTATTTGTCAGCACTCCAGATAATACATGCTTGTATGTAGTTTATAACATTGTTAAAATTATGTAAAATAAAAATTATTAATTAATTTTAAAATAAACATGAGGAATATTCCTATCAAACCCAGTTACTAACATGACCTGCTAATTAGGAGAATGATTTTGAAGCAAAATGCAACATTGCTTCCAATTGCAAGTTATTGCAGTAGCAAGAAACATGCAAGACTCTCCTCTGGTGACACATGTCATGGCATCTCTATAATATGTAGACACAGTGGTGTTTGTACATGAATTAGCTTGATATACTGTACCACAGTATGTTACTAGTATATATTTATCACACTGGCAGGCATGACGGCCATAAAGCCCCAGATTAAATCGTCAAATAGTGAAATGGTGCTCCAGCTCTTACCATTGTTCTGGATCTTTAGGATCTTTGCACTTCAGATCTTTCACCAAAAAGGCAGTGCCAAAATTTCCACTCCCAAGTTTTCTCTCCACCTGATATCGATTGGCAAGAATTCTTTTCTCTTCCTCCTCCTCTTTACTACTGCGGCGTCCTCTTGGAATCTTCTTTGGTAATGGCATCTTTTGATTGTTCCGTTAAAAATTAGCTCCTTTAGAAATACTTCCTTCTTGTATTTATAAAATGATTGCATTAAAATGTCCCCCAAATAGAAAGTCTTTAAGCTAAAAATGAAGTGATTGTCTTAGTCGTGGGAGGGATTCTTAACACCAAAAAGACAACAGGCACTATACAAAGGACGGATACAGAGTTTTTCAACTCTTTTGATCACAGTGACATATTTACAGAGTTTGCAGGCTTCGATCCCTGGAGCCTGCAACACTGAACTTGAGTCACGACTCAAGCGGGGAAAGTTCAGTAGCAAAAAACAAACCCCGGTTACGTTCCAAGCCCTTAACTATTTCATTTCTTCTGCCATATTTCTGTTTTGCAGGATCTACTCCATCTGAGCCTTCGTTTGGCCACTCTGGGTAAGTAACGTGACCTTTGTGGCACTTAAATTGTACTCTTGTGAAGAAAATCACAGACGCATGGTCAAGAAAGTTTCCATTCACCTGGACGACTGATAAACTACGCACGCGCACCTGTTATTTCCGTCTGTGTGTCTTTGACCTAGTTCAATAAACTAGGTCAAACGTGTTGCTAGTCGTGTGTCACTGCCTTTCAGGTACGTTTTGTAAAACATGTTGACTCAGATAATATATTAAAAAATATAATATGTTAAAAATCAAAATTACACCGGCACAGAGGCACCACGAAATCAATGTGCAGTGTGCAAGCAGATGAACTTGAAAGTTGATGCGACAATAAAGTTTCCTCAGTTTCAAAATTCAGAGCTTCTTCACCATCCCCAATTGTTAATTCTTTTAAAATTTAAACCATTGCATTAACACTTGATGCCATTATATAGAAAAGGGGATGTATATGACAGTATGCGAGTATTCATTCCCTGTATCAAAATGATAAGATGAAAAAATACTGATTGCATTTATCACCTACTATTTCTTTTTGATTAATACATGTATGCATTGAAAAAAATTCCAGTTATACTAGTACTAGTACATGAAAAAATACTAGACTAGATTAGAAAAGCACTCCGAGAGTGCAGACCTCCGCCAAGGCAGCGATTTATTTTTATTATTGAATATTGATTGATTATTGATCCGGATCACCACCAAAAACTAATCTCTTCCTTGGCCCACTTCTGACAGTTCCTGAAAATTTCATCAAAATCAGTCCATAACTTTTTGAGTTATGTTGATGACAAACAAACAAACAAACACGGACAAACAGGACTTAAAACATAACCTCCTTGGCGGAGGTAACAATAATGCAATATGTATGTACAGAGGGTGACATGCCCTTTTTTACTTTGAACGACATATCTAATTAAACTTAATGGATTTATATGCTCCTTCCCATACTCACCATAGGTATGTGTACCCGTACTGTACTGTACATGTAGATCGATCAAACAAGGGAGACTTGCTGAGTGCAATGAGTTTAACTGAATGACACACCTCTTCTTGTTTCTAACATACTGGTATAGTCACCAGCTGTTCTCTATTCTACTCAACACCAGGAGGAAGAGGCATGCCATTCAGTTAGGCTGATTGCACTCAGTGAGAATCCCCGCAGATCAAGTTGGATCCATCTACTGGTACAAAGACTGATATGGTGTCTATGGGAATTAGCTTTACATTGTATAAGTGACACCAAATAAATCACCAATAAAATGAAATTTCTTAATTCTACTGATCGTTCATTGGTATTTATGCAACTAATATTTATCATTCTGTAGAAAAAAAAACTTTTTTTTTTCTTTTTGACAGTTGACTATGTCCAGCAAAGCAGGGAAATCATTTAAAGATGACCACATATTTCACCAACTTCCACCTAGCGTCCAAGATAAGATCCCCAAAGACATCGCCTCATTAGGACTTGGCAACTTAGACACAGATGTTCTTGGTGAAGCCTACTCGTACAAACTTCAGCAGTGCGCTTTGTTGCTGTACGACGGCAAGACAAGACAGTGTAGTGACTCCAGCAATGCTCTATTAAATATGGCCTGGGAGATGCTTCATACTGGACATTGGAAAGATGTTGACATTAATTGGAGGCATTCATATACCTACTGCTCTTTATTTAAATGTTTGTGTGAGATATTAACACATATTGAAAGTACATGTACAAGGACTGGAGATGGGTTAACAGGATCATATCAGACTGCCATTAATATTTGCGATATGGGATTGTTAATGGGTGCCCCTGTATTAGATAATATACTTAGACGACTGGCCAGTGCTTTGACTGTATTAGAGTCACATAATGTAGAAAAGATGAACAAAACAGTCACGTGTGAAGAAGCAAATGTTGATGCCGAGGACAACACAAAAAATCATAAGAAGATGAAACTGTATAAAGAACCTGATATAAGTGAAGAGAACGCCATATTGAGAATAAGCTGCCCTTCGCTTGAGTATTTCAGTTCACATCACATGGAAACAGAAACTCCTGTGATCGTAACAGATGCCATCGACTATTGGCCAGCTTTCAATGACCACAAGTGGACACTGGATTACTTGAAAAAAGTAGCCGGTTGCAGAACTGTTCCAGTGGAAATAGGATCAAAATACACAGATGAGTCATGGTCAGAGACTTTGATAACTTTGCAAAATTTTATAGAAAACTTTATCGAAAACCCCAGTAAAAATTCTCAACAGAATGGTGTAGGGTATTTAGCCCAGCACCAGTTATTCGATCAAATCCCAGAACTACAGAGGGATATCAGCATTCCAACCTATTGTTGTCTAAGTAACAGTAACCAAGGTGATAGTAACCAGGGTGATAGTAACCAGGATGATGAGGAAGAGGATGGGAATGAGGATGTTGATGTAAATGCCTGGTTTGGACCAGCTGGGACGGTGTCTCCTCTCCACCAGGATCCAAAACATAACCTCCTGGCTCAGGTTGTGGGCCACAAGTACCTCAAGTTGTACTCAGTGGACGACACCCTGTATTTGTATCCTCATGAAGGAATGCTCAGCAATACGAGTCGGGTCGATGCTGAAAATCCAGATCTGGAGAATTACCCCCTGGTCAGTCAGGCCACCCCCATGGAATGTGTGCTACACCCAGGGGAAATGTTGTATATCCCTCCTAAGTGTTGGCATTATGTGAGGTCTCTTACATTGAGCTTCTCTGTTAGTTTTTGGTGGAAATGATTTCAGTTTCTTTTTAAATCTAAGTAATTATTTTTGAGTCACTTTATGGTGAAGATTCTGGAGAATTCCATTTGCAATGGTTAAAACAGAAATTTAGATCTCAAAAATGGGTTTAAAATTTGTAATTTTCTTAACACCTTTGAATACAATTAACTTTGATGATTAAGGCTTATTTTTTAATTTTATTATGTTATTGCTATTCTTATTATTCGCTCTGTAAGTGCCTGATGTACATTGTTTGCCTTTAAGGAGTGCCAAACTACAATAGACATTTCTAGAGCAGTTGGCAGCACATTTTCAGACAATTTTTATTTTTATAAGACAACAAGAATTTTTTTTCTCTTTTTTTTTTTTGCGTTTGGTGTTCTAAAATTTGCTCATTTTCACTTGCAATATCAAATCTTTTGATAATAAATGGAAACATATATTGAAAGAGTTTCATTAGAGTGATACATAAAATAGCAAAGAGGAAAACAATTTCACGGGACATCATAAAACCGTCAATACATTTATTTGACTGAAGACTTAAAAATACATTGCATACAGTAGTAAAACATAGATGATGCATAATTATTTAAAAACGTGAAAAAGATTTAAACAAATGCCATTTCAACCCTAAATGTATGCATTATATATATTCTGTGATTTCATGGCCTTATTGGAAAGTGAATATGACACTGTTACTTCCATGAATAAACCGTTGATCATTTTCCATTCCTATTACTGTCACTCAAAATGACCTGACAAGGGTTTAATACCTACTGACCACTAACTGAACAAGTCCTTTAACACCTACATGTATACCACTCTTTTAGGTGAATTATAATAGTGAAATCATGATTTCAAATTTCAAAGGGTAAATGTCCAAGGACTTGCAAGTCCCATGTTGCAAATCATCATTCAATACTCCCGACTTATAAGAGCACTACATCAAAGAATAAATCACACACATCACAGATGATACAGAAATAGCAGTAGCCCTGACATCAAAAAATGCTACACTCACACATTATCCAACTATAAGCATCAAAGTATTTCTATATACTTCTGATCAGTTGTATGACGTGTTTGACTCGTTTGATCATGTTTCTGGTGACATGAGAATGTAAAAAACTGATTTTGTTGCACAAACCTATAAAATGCATCTTTTGAAAAAAGCAGATCATACATGTCAGAAGTAATTTTTTTTTGGCACAAAAACAAAAGAGAAAAATATGTCATGAAAAAATGACACATACTGTGGTATGTACATATTTGTATAGTTAAATGGAAGGTAATACAACAAATTACACAGTTATAAATATTAATAATAATAATAAAACCTGACAAAAAACACATTTGAGAATTTTGTCATTTACCAATTTTGGCAAACTTGCAAAGCTCATAGATACCATGTACTAGTAATGATATATACGAAGTAAGACTAGAACATACATATCTATTAAATATAACATACAAATACTCTTTTAAAAAATTTAAAAAAAAACACTGTTCGTCACTAAGTAGAGCACATTGTAATGCTATTCTCCTAAATCATAAAACCTTGCAAACATTAATGACTTCATCAATTTCAGTAAGTTGCCAGAGAAATGTGTCAATATCCATGACTAGGGCAGCTTCAGGTGATGAGTTGTATATTCAATGGTTCATAATTTATTACCAGAGCAAAAAAATTGGCATCTTCAGTGCACCAGATTTTTTTATTATAAAACGTGATGAAGGTGGAGATGCTCTTATGTCCTGAGGGAGTTAAAACCCTTGGTACATGAAGCCACCGTAAGCTTACTTAAGACTTGAAAACACAGTCTTTTCTACAGTTTACCTGTAACTGGAGACAGAGAAATAGCAGTATAGAGACATATAACATGAGAAGTTATAAGGCAACAAAGGCTTTCAAATACAGGTTCCAGGGTTGAAATATTATGCTTGCTTTAATTTGATTTTGATGAAAAAAATATATATGTACACGTAGCTCACTCTTCTTAACAGTGGTGTTGTTTCCCAGTAAACATCATGCAGTTCTAACGTGATATATTCCTTCATTGTTGAGAACAGATGTTGACGGGAACAAGGGATCATCATAGCTTGATGGGTTTAAGGGGTGGACAAGCCAGTAAAAGCCTCCAGTTCAGTCCAAGGGGAATGACAACTAAAATATGTTGAATGAGATTATTTCATCTTTCAGACTTCATAACCATAATTGTTGTTACAGATTTGTGAGCATGAACATCCGGCGGGCCATGGAATCGTGATTGGAGTCATTCATATGGTGTTAATGTTCGCAACTCTGAGGCTTTAGTTCGCAAGTGGCTAATTTGTTTATAAGACCTGATCTTTTATGTTCCGCACAGTATGTTGACCTGATCAGTCCCAGTATTATATCCCACTACTGTATGTTGACCTGATCAGTCCCAGTATTATATCCCACTACTGTATGTTGACCTGATCAGTCCCAGCATTATATCCCACTTGTCCCGGTGGAGGTGGGTATGGTGCAGGGTAGCCTCCTTGAAAAGATATTAGAAATTAACACCAGTAATAATTGTGACAGAAAGATAGTATGGATAAGTACTTTTCAGAGTTTCTCAACCTTTCAGATTACATAATTTTGAAATCATTAAAAATACTTTTTCATGTAGCATTGTGTTGCTTTTTCTGTATAAAATACAAGGTACAGTAGCCTGCTTTTCAGTTTGTTGCTCCATATAATTCATTAGGAATGTTCAAGAATTGATGACTTAAAAAATACCACATAAGATTTTGTAAAATTCACAATTTTTCCCTAATGAAAAGATCGAGTCACTACCGTACCTTGAGTTGAAGTACTAGAAGATGCAAATTTTGGTGTAAAAGTTAATTGTACATGTACAACTTCTGATTGTGGAATAATTGAAATTATACCAACCTGCTGGTGGCTGGGGTGGATATCCCTGGGATGGATATCCTTGTGGTGGTGGATACCCTTGTGGAGGTGGATATCCAGGGGGTGGGGGTTGCTGTGGATATCCCTGGGGTGGGGGTTGCTGTGGATATCCTTGGGGTGGGGGTTGCTGTGGATATCCCTGGGGCGGAGGCACATAGACCCCTGGGGCAGGTGCTAAAAGAAAATTACACATGTTAATTAGACGAATAAACAAACAATATACATCCACATATTATGGTTTTCAAGCCAATGTCAACATCATGCAGTCCACAACTTGGACATGCTAAATGAGGAACATATAGCAAACAAGAATCTGGTCAAACAAGAAAAGCTCACACTAAAACCATACATTTTAGGAAATATTTCTAACATATTTCTATTTAAAGCTTCACTCCATTCAATCAGGTCAAATAAGGTGGGCTACTGCTGTGCTGGCAACTGTTCAAGCTCTACAAAAAAGTAGTGTGCTGATTCTATTCTTGCCACCATGAATGAGCTTACAACTAAAAAGCTTAGAGACATCTTGCTGTAGCCTGTGGGAAACTTAAAGGTTTCAGGCATTTCTATGCAAACATGAATCACGTCAAAAACCCAACAAGCACTTTCAGACATGATTTGGGGTTGCAATAAAAAAAGAAGGGGGAAATGGCTCACTGGCCTTATAATTATGCTTAAAACCAAGGGGCCGGGGACTGCTTTAGTCAGAAATCTGCTAATGTGAAAGAAAAGGTGGATTTCTGATTTAAAGCAAAAAAAAAAAAAAAAAAAAAATCATGTCTGATGTTTGCACACTCGCAAATTGCATTGAACATTTGCATTGAACAAACAGCATATCAGAATATTATGTGCAGTTATCAGGGCAATCCAATACATGCTTTTCTCATCTATCAGATTTCTTGGAGTGCAGGCAATTAACAGAGAGTAAAATGGATAACAGCCAAATGTTTTTAACAAATCAATGACAATGGATAAATGAATGAGAGGAGACCAGCTTAATAATACTAGAGGATCAGAGAGGCAGTACCACCTCCTGGTTATGTACCATCAGCTGAATTGGGCATATAAAGGGGATAACAACACACACAAAACACGCCACATACTATTAAGTAAAGCAAAAGTGCCTGTGTACACTATATAAAGCTCTGTTATAAGACATAAATCATTCATTCATTGTCATTTTCTGTTTAAAACAAGAACACAGAGCTAAGCATTTTCTGCTAAGTTTACCTGGTGGTTGTTGCCCCCCATACAGGTGAGGAGGACCCATTAGAGGGTCCATGGTCTCTGGAGCATTGCTGCCTATATACAAGTCAAGCAATAGATTAAAAATAATATGGGCAAATCAACCAAATGTCAATTTTAAATATTTTATATTGACAGGGTAGAATATTATTCACAAGACATGAGTCGATCTAAAAAAACATGTGTCATAGGCAAGCATGCTGCTGAAATGACAAATAAAGCAAACAGTGGAAGTTGAAAAACATTCAAATACTAGACTAAGTACACATTTCTAATTCTGATTAGTATTTATTACATAGGCCTATCAAAAACATCAAAAGACAATTTAAAAACAGCAATATCTATAAACACACTTAAATGATGTACATGTACATGCTGATACACAAGTATTGCCCAGCAATAGTAAAACAACAAACCACAAAAGTCCTTCAGTGATAAAAATGAGTAACAAAATACAATTAAAGGAATTTGCAAGACACATAGTCAAGTATACAATGAGCCCCATGCCCAGCTGTCCCACACACCCACAAACACATTGACAAATTGAAGTATGAACTAAAAGAAACAGTCATGACATGAAAGTTCATTTTTTTTTAAACATTAAAAATTTTTAAAATATTAAATTTTTTTAAGTTCTTCAGGTTGGTTTAAATCTGCCAACCTGCCTCTAGTCAATTTCCCTTCCTTGAATGTTTCTTATTCATAAAAGTGTGTTGGTTGGACAAGATATACGTAGAACAGGCAGAGCATGTGTGAAAAGAGGCATACTAGCTAACCTCGGGTTAAATAATTAATTTTAAGGGTGGATACACTGCTGAATGCATCCAACAGTTGAACACAGTGAATCAACAGAGTGGTTCAATTGTATTGTTGATTGTGGGTCCAAAGTTGAAATCTTTCATCCACTGAGAAAACTGAAACCTGCTGTTTGCTTATACTCTTGATATGAGCCTCCTTTCTTAGATATTGTACTGGCTTGATTATAATTATCAGTATCTACACTGTATGTCATTCAAGTTCAATTATTTCAGACTAATGTGAACAGCCCCAGTTTAAGTTCTATTGGTGGTGGTGGGGGATAATAATTATTACTTTTCTTATTATTTATTTATTTTTCTTTTTGCACTGTAAGACAAGCCAGTAACTTACCCAAGGGTGTATTGACAGTGATGGGGAGATTTTAGTTCAAATAATATTTTGGCATTCTGAGCGATACCATATCACATACCTAAGGGTGTGTTGACAGTGACATGTGTGTGTCCTCTTCTTGCCATGCGACGCCTTCTGACCACTATGACAGCCACTATGATGGCAATTATCACAGCCAAACAAATGAACCCTCCAAGGTATGCACCCCACGACACGGTCCTGGTTGCTAGAGTGAACACATGAAAGGAAGCGATCTCATTCTTACAATAAAATATTGTGACTAGGACTAAATAGAACTAATTTGGGAAAATATAGTAGACTGTGTTAACTCAGACATGTTGGAACCACGTTTGGTTGATTTTTATGAAGATTTGAGTGAGGCAATCTGTGTATATGCATACAGACTATAACATTTTATTCATCCCCCTTTCAAAACAGGACAATTCCATAAAAATTCAAAAAGGTACAAAAACAAACATTTATAGTGTAACAAAATTATACTGTAACATTAAAAGACATTTCTAAAAATCTGAATTCACAGCATTACTGAGAAGTAATTCTTCCATGTTCACATTAAACATACCACCACATCTCCTCTGTTAAATGTACCATCATAAATCTTCTATGTTCACATGAAACATACCACTATAATATCTCCCGCAGTTTCCCACTTCGTCCCCGCCATCAGGGCAATTTTCCACCCCATCGCATTTGAGGTCACGGTCAATACACAGACCATTTGAGCACCGAAAACCTGAACATGTAAAGCCTGGAATTGTAAGCGAATTGTGCAGATATTTCATAAATTAACTAGACTGAGTAGACTTAAAATAAATGCAAAAATAAGCATGAAGAAAGAGAGAAAGAAAAAAACTATTTCCAAATCTCATTGATTTTCCATTTGTCAATAAAATCCACATTTTCACCAAAATGCAAAAAAAAAAAAAAAAATAATAATAATAAATAAATAAATAAATAAATTGGTGATTAAACAAAGACGAAATTTGAGAACCAATTACAATGAGGGAGAAAAGATCATGCAGAGCTACTCACTAGTTCTGTAGCTGGTCAGTACAACTTTAAACTGCATGTCTTGTGTACCACCCCTGCTGACATATCTCAGAGTGAGATACCGCATTTGGAATTTTAAGTACTCAGGCTTTCGAGAGTTGCAAGTTAATTCTAACTGAAAAAGAAATAAATATCATGGCAATTCAGTGAATTATTCTCTAAGCAAATGAACAAAAAATATATATTTTAGAAACATACATGTAGCTCAGTCCAAAAATATAAAAAAAGTAATAGTGTGATTATTCATATGATTGTGCAACAAGTAGAAATATATTGAGATGTTGGGGTTAACAGCATAAAGTGAAATCAGAATTCCCATAAACCTTTCATACTAGCTGGATTGATCTAACTCCTCGGGGATGCTTGCGGAATTGCATTCAGTTTAAGCAGTTTAAATGTCTGGCACGCCTGCCCGTAACTTAAAGTACCTAGGTCATGAAAACTTTGTGGTCCATGATGTTGTCCATGTTGCCTTGTAAAGGGGCATGCCAGACAATTAAACTGAATACAATGACTACGCCTTAGCAAGAATCCCCACTGAGATAGACCTATCCCGCTCTCATTTCCAACATACCAGGCCCGTAGCCAGTAATTTCAGAGCGGGAGGTTCGTTTTCTGAAAAAGTTGACCTTTAACCACAAAATCCTCAAGTACATAGATCAAATTTTACCAAGACCTTTTCCCAGCAAAAAGGGTGGTTCTTTCAAACCCCCCAAACCCCCCCTTGGCTATGGGCCTGCATACTCAATGACAAATAATCACTAACTTTTCTGTATTCTACTCAATGCCAAGAGGAGGGATGTTTATCTGTTAATCTGATTGCAATCAGCAGGAGTCCCCTCAGAAATTTGATCAATCTACATGGAATGATAGTTTTATTGGGAATGAGCCCTTACAGCACACATGACCGTGCACGCAGGAGAAGTATAGGCCTGTAAGGTTTTTACCTTCTGCAACCTGTTGCTATATCTACTATACGCTGTGAAAAGAGTGAGAGTACTTTTGCAGTCTGAACTATTGAAATATTTGAAGTCCACTGCAAATCCACTGTCATCTGCCTTGAAAGTCATATCACAAGAGGATGTTTGGTACAGAGGGTTTCTGGCGCTGGTTATCTGAGCGCCATCTATCTCTCTGTACATGTTGTAGCTCCTACTGCTGCAGTACTGGCTCCTAGGCATCTGATCTGAAGTACAGAAGACAGCAGACTATAGTTATATGATTTGCGCTCCTCCTTTTTATTTAAAAAAAAAAAAAGATACACCCAGTTAGCATTTGGTACCCAAGAGTGGCATCAGTGGAATGTTCCATGATAAGACCATTGTTCTCAGATTATTATGTAGGGTTGGTAGATCATTATAGAGGTTCCATTGGGGCCGTAACAGTAGTCTGAAAGTTAAATGGCCCAAAGGTTCAATAATCCTAACAAAGTGTATAGTGTATTGGTAATAAAGTTAAGTCCATCACAGGTGTGTGCATTCGATTTTTCGCACCAATGGACCTTTGGGCCAATGAACCTTAAGAATATAGAGGCACCCATGAAAATTGATAAAGGCGAAGTATGTTTTTAAGGCTCTTTTAATTTTAGATATAATTTCAAAAGTATAATGTTCTGGACAGAATCTTTGAGAAGATATAATTTGTGTTAATATGGCACATATTTTTTTTCTGATATACCTACTGTACTAGTAACGCCGACCAAATGGAAAGAAAAGAATTTAAACTAAAATTTGTTCTTGGTTCTCTGTCGTTTGTCAAAAGGGTAAAAAGATACACTTTTTTAGGAAAAAAACACCCTTTAAAATTACTGACTGTAAAAATTTTGTCGCACCTTGAGTCTAGACGCAGAGAGAGAGAGAGAGAATTTAACTTACACAAACTAGACCGTGCTCCGCTCACAACATCTTGACAGAATATTATCATGACAAATAAATATATTACTAATGAATATGCAAAGCCATCCATTTCGATCTCGTAAGAAAATTTTACGCAGCATGAAAACAGCAAATAATCAATATTGTCCTTCGGTGAGGAGGATATTTAATACACGCCGATGCTAACTCTAGAACCAAGATGAGCCCCATTTGCAGAAAAACGATTTGTTCAAGTTACGTTAACTAAATAGATCTTCATGCTGCAAATAGGTTTTGGAAGCCTAAAAAAGGTGTCTTTTTGGATTCACAGTGAGGCATGGTTTTACGGTGGGTCTATTGCCACTTAATGTCTTATACCAGTCTTCTTTCAGAATTCTTTTGAATTTAGGATGAACACTTTTGGCCGACTTTTGGAGTGAGGATGTCCACTCCCAACGGCCCTCGGGAACATCGGTAGAGCTTGATGTCTCTTCGCTCTTCGCCTTAGTGAAAAAGGCGCAAAAATCCTTTTCTTTCAAAGCTACTATCCGAGGGAAAAGACTAATCGGGTGACCCTTTTATGATAGTGTGGAAACTTTGCTCAGACCAGGGAATTATATCCGATATAACTCCCTGCTCAGACCAAGGACGCGTCAGACCGGGCAGATGACATTTAATACACTTCATTTATTGTTAAAAGGCAGACATATTGGCTGTAAAGGTTTGTTTAATGTTTATGTATATCCCACGTATGCTACAACGGGTCGGTAAAAGAGAAGGACAGAATCGCGGCAATGAGACTGAGACTGGCCGGGTTTCCATACCGATCTCCGAGAGGTTTCTCGCTAAATTGCTTTCAGCTTAAGCGGCTTAAATGACTGGCACACATACTGAAGCTGCTAAACGATAATTAATTACCCCCTACAGTGGCGGATTTAGAGGGGGTGTCAGTGGGCTCCTGACCCCCCCCCCCCCTTCGTTTTCTGAAAAATATATCACACCAATATTCCCCTCCTGAAATTAGAATTTTGATAGCTAAATCATAGTTCTAAACCTGGGCACTGTTTGCTCTCCAGCAAACCAAAAAATTTTCGGGGTCCTTGAGCAGGCCCCAAACCCCACACCCTGCAAGGGGTCGATGGTCGGCTTCGCATCCGAGGTCTGTCGTTCCGGACTCCCCCTCCCCTCCCTCCTCTTCAAATAATCTTGGATCCACCCTGTTAAGAGTCTGATTGGTAAATAACTCAGGTGACAAAATAAATAAAGAGACAAAGCGTGTTTTTCAGGAGTCATACTAGAACCCACTAAACTGTATTCGGTCCTTGTTACATGTACCCATTCGTTTGAACCTTGACGTTTTATCAAGGGCCTGACCACATGAAAGACTCGTTGAAAATCTGGTACAAGTTGTTATATATAGGACTATGAGAAATTCAAAATGATATGATTCCTACATCATTGACGTCTCGCGTCTTTGTTCGCGTTAAAAATCTAACTTCTGATTCCATGAATGGCGAACGTTGGCTTGATGCAGAAATTTCATTTTAGTCAGCAGGCCACCCAGCAGGCATAGTTGCGTTGGATCAACGTTGAAAACAGGTTGATACGTTGAATTGCCGTTGATCTACCTAAATTCAACGTCAAATCAACGTTGATCCAGCCACGTCGAAACACCGTCATAATGTGACGTTGACTCAACGTTGTATTTTGGTCAATGACACAACCTTGCAGTTATGGATTGTAATTAAGAATATTAATTATTGAAAACATGATACTTTGTTTATCAATACTGTAACTAAATTTATCAAAATAATTACAAAATGGTTTTAAAGTAAAAGTGACAGTCGTTTTGTGTCTTTAGTTAACTAATGAATTTTCTTAACTTGTTATTCAGAAATACATTCCAATAAACTGAATTGCTTGCAAGGTCAGCTAATACTAGGATGAATAAGTTGCTGTAAATATGATGGAGTTAACAGTTCTTGGTAACCTGTTATAGATAGCCAGGTCATTGACCAAAATACAACGTTGAGTCAACGTCACATTATGATGGTTTTTCGACGTGGCTGGCTCAACGTTTATTTGACGTTGAATTTAGGTAGATCAACGGCAATTCAACATATCAACCTGTTTTCAACGTTGATCCAACGCAACTATGCCTGCTGGGCAAGTTGTTCACCCCTTCTATTGCAATGGACTCGCCCCACCTGTCACCCCTCTAATGGAATGGACTCGCCCCACCTGTCACCCCTCTTATGGAATGGACTCAACCCACCTGTCACCCCTTCTAATGCAATGGACTCGCCCCACCTGTCACCCCTTCTAATGGAATGGACTCTCCCCACCTGTCACCCCT